TAGGACAATATTAGTAGCTAATAATGAGTGCAGCATTAGAACACATACCTTGGGTTAACATTAAGAAAACTAAAGCTCAGAAAAAAAAGTCAATTCCAAAGTCAAAAATTTACAAAGAAATTAAGTTCTTATATTATTTACAAAAGAGAAGTGAAAAAAGCCCTTCTATAAAAATTAACTCTGATGAGAAAGAAAGTTTAAATAAGAGAATTGATAAAATAAATTAACTGCACCAAACACAAATCGCACAAGTACCAGAGTGGTGAAGTTAAATTCATTTGGAGGAACAAAAAAACTAGAGCAAAGTTTTTAGAAAGAAAGCAGGTGATGAAAAGTGAAAAAAAAAGAAAGCAAAATTTGGGAAAAAATAGAATTGAGATTTGGTATAATAGAAAAAAATAAAAAGAAAATGCTTCAAAGCCTGCTAAATAGACTACACAACAAAATCACGATTAACAGAGTTCTTGTAGGGAAGAATTTCAGAGTTCACAACCTAGAATTGATCAATAATGAAGAAGGAGTAAAATGGCAAGTATTCTCTCACTTTGAAGAACAATTTAGAAAAAAGAATCAAAAGTTTAAAGAGATAAAAGCAGAATGAAAAGAAGAATACAAGTCAAAAAAGAAATTAACTCTATAATATATAAGGAAGTAACAGACTTCTTTACATTAGAAGAATAACACAAGCTTTAAGTAAAACTAGAAATAATACAGCACCAGGAATTTTAAATATTGGCTATATTCTATTTAAAAAAATATCACCCAGAGTGATTGAGAAAATTTTAGTATTAATAAATACAATTCTCAAATAAAGCAAAATTCCAGATAAGTAAAAACTCAGTCAGATATACTTAATCCCAAAAAATAGCTCGTGGAAATATAATTTAAGCAATACGAGACCTATAGTATTACTTGAAGCATGCAGAAAAGTTTTAATATAAATGCTCCAAATAAGACTAGATAAAGTACTAAGCAAAAATAGTATATTAAAAGGAGTAAACTTTGCAGACTTGTCTGGGGAAAGTACATCGACCCTATCAACATAATAAACAATATAATAGAAGAAGTGGTAGAAAACAAAAAAGAGATCTGGGTTACATTTTAAGATATAAAGAAAGCCTTCAACTCAGTTAGTATGGTCTCACTTAAAAAAGCTTTAGAAAAAATTAAAATTCTAGCAAAAATAATTGAGATAATAATGGAGCTATATAAGAATAAACAGCTTAGCGTTATAACAGAGTTTGGAAATACAGATTTTATAAAAGCAGGAGATAGTATAGACCAAGAAGAGATACTGTCTCCATTGGTTTAGAGGATTTTTTATAATCCTTTGCTTTGTAGAGTACAAAAGGTTAAGCTAGATTACAAAATGTATAACTTAGAAATATGTATAAACTCAAAGAACACTGAAGCAAATATTAGGGTAGAAGTGTTAGTATATGTAGATGATACAATGTGGTTAACAAATAGTCAAGAAAGCATGCAAAGTACAATTGATATTGTACAAGAGTTTTATAAGTTAAATGATATTGAAATAAATCCAAACAAGACTAAACTCATAGTGTTAAAACTGGGTAAAAAGAAGTATGCAGAAAACTTAGCAATATGGATGGGCAATCCAAGAATCAGAATTATAGCAAAAGATCCTAAAGAAACAACAAGATTTTTAGGGGTCTGGATGTCAATCAAGAATCAAAAAAAGTCTAATATATTTAAAGCAAAAAGCATAGTAGGCAAGATCATGGGCCTACTCAAACATAAATAGATGTTTTTGAACCAGATCATATATGCAAACAATGCAATTCTCATACCTACTTTAGAGTATAGATTAATAGTTTCATGTTTGAATAAAGCACAGTGTGAGAGAATACACCAACCAATGAATCATCTGATAAAATGAAAATGACAATGCCTTCCACAACAGCAAACATAATAACAAAACATTCAGAAATAATGAACTTTAAAAGTCTTTGGAATAGACACATGGAGTATCACATATTAGAGTTACTAGTCAGATTAAATATACCAGGTTTATTAGAAGAATCGACAGTAAGAAGGCTTAAGCAAGACCAGCTAAGAGCAGGATTATTGAACTGTATTCTAACAAATCAGAATGTATTAGCAAAAGAAGAAACAAAAGGTCGCAACTTAGGTATAAATATCTTGCAACAAACATACACTCTGGGCTTTGTAATAGAAGAAAATAAAATTACAAAGAGTTGGAATTTAGACATTACATGAACAGTAAATGATGAAAAGATCACAGGTGTCTTTAAGTGTTTGAACATAACTTATAAAAAAACGAAAGCAAGCAGCCTGGGTCTAAGTTTGGTTTCACAACTTATTGTGAAGGATAGCAAAACAATGTGTACATGGAATCATATCAAATTAGCAGGTGGTAAGAGTTTAAAAGGAAAAAAAGCAGGCTGGCTTGCTAGATTAGAAATAGAGATGCTAGAAAATTCTTGTACATGAGTAGTTAAAAATAGATATAACTGCAAAGCAAATAATGTTAATGCATTTAGCTTAGAGACAAAAGAATAAAAGAATGGGTTTGTTAGCGAGATGAAGCAAATACAACACTCAATGTAGAAAAGATTAAAGAAAAAGAAAATGCATATATAGAAGTTGAAAAATACAAAGAAACAACATATTGTCATGAAAATGAAATGCAGCAGTTATTAGTAATTGATAAAAAAAGCGAATCTTACATGGTTAAGCATAGAAAACTTAGAGACATTTCAAACATAGTTCAGAAAACAAAAAAGAGGACAAAGTTGATCTTTGAAAAAAGATACATAGAAGAGGTAGTTGGTAAAAAGGAAGTGAAAGTGCTTGTTAAAGCAAAAGAAATGAAAAGAATAAAAGAGAAGAGTAAAATAAGTATAGAGTGCAAATGTTGGGAAATAGTCCTAGTTAATAGAATAGTTTGTAATAATATAATTAGATCTAGAATAGCAAAAAGTTTAAAACAAAATAGAGAATTAGATAGTTTATTTTTTTATATAATAGCTCATTTGGTATTGCTGAGGAGAAAGAAAAATTAGTAATGGGATGTGGAGTAATTTAAACCACAAAAACAAGTCAGCTTTTGCGACAAATATCTTTGTGACAAAGAGGTGGTTCTCATCTACAAGAGCAGAAATGGTAGCAATATTATTCACATTATTAACTATACCCAAGAAAGAAGAGTTAAGATAAGAATGGATAGTAAAGCAGCAATATTAGCAATCAAAAGAGGCCTAGAGACAAACAAGATAAGACCGTGTCTAAAGACTAAGAATTGTGGTTTGGTAACAACAATTGTAGAGGTAATTAAGACAAAGGAGCTAAATACACACTTTATAAAGATCAAAGGTTACTCAGGTGATATATTTAATGATTTTGAAGATTTAAAGCAAAAGAAGGTTTCAAGTCAACGGAGTACCTAAACCCAGAAACATTATATATGAAAAGCTACAAAGTAAGGTACATGTGGAAAGGTAAACTAGTTGAAAAGCCTATCTGTTTCTTTATCAAAATGTTAGGGAGAGTATTATTGAAAGCAGAATGGGCTTTTCTACATAATACACATAATAAAACTCATCAAGAAAAAAAGAGCACTCAATCTTGGTCCATGTTGCGCAATATAATGAGAAGCAGAACCAAACAATGAAACCACACTTTCAAATCAAATACACTACAGCTCTTTGAAATAAAGAGCTTTCAATCTTGGTCCATGCTGCGCAACATAATGAGGAGTGGAACCAAACAATGAAACCACACTTTCAAATCAAATACACTATAGCTCTTTGAAATAAAATATATAAGCAACATACTCATAGTGTTCAAAAAACTCAATCAAAGAAGACTAGAAACATACAAGACAGACAAATGTGTTATATGTAAAAAAAAAAAGAAAGAGAATATAGAATATTTGGTGAGCTGCGAAACTTCCCTGAATCTTCTCTGTGATTTAGAGAAGCAAGTAGTAGAAGCAATCTTGCTTGAATTAAAAAAGGTAGAAAGCATGGAGACAACCAAAAAAGAAGTCTTAACAATGTAAGAAAAGGGATTTAAACTGAAGAATTATATAGAAGAGAAAGATAGATCAGAGGCCTAATTACAAAAGAAGACTTCGATAAGTTGAGATCTCTTTTCAACTCAAATAATCAAGCAAAGAATTTTCTAGATAGACTTTAGAAGAATTGAATAAAAGAAGTATATGAGAGAATATAGATTGCAAGATGCAAGCTAGTACAGGAATGGGAGAAAGAAAACAGGATCACACCAAAAAATAAAAGAAGATCGCATAAAAAGGCAAGAAAGAAAAAAAAGAAGAAGAAGCCACCAGATAAGCATACTAGGAAAAAGAAAAAGATAAAAATGAAGAAGAGGATAAAAGATGGAGTTCAATTTTAGAGATAGCTAAGAAAGAGGTTCTAAGATGGATTGAAGAAAGGCAACAAGCAGATTGGTAGAAAATTAATTTGTAGTCTTGACAGGTGGTAAGATCTGGCTGGTGATGTATTATTGAAGCCAATTGCAGGATAAGATAATACAGAGGCAAATTTTACTATAGCAGATCACACATAGGTACTCAGTAAGCAACCAGATGTGTCTCCACTTGTAATTTAGGTACTATCAAGTATAACTCTGTAGAAAATTTTAATAGATTAGATAATTATTACAAAGCCTAATAAAGTAAAAGCAAGACTGCCAAATTTAAAAAAAAAAAAAAAAAGAAAATTAGCATTGGTAATAAATTAATACTGTTCATTTATCATTATTGATACATTTAAAATATTTTTATATTTAATTAATCTAAAACTTGTTAATTAGATATTTAAATAGGTTAAAATTATTTCAATAAATTATTTTATAAATTTAAACAAACAGTAAATTGATAGTAGTGAATCTGATGATTTATCAGAATTGAGCATAAGTGAATTTGAAATAAGCTTTTCATATAATAGTCATGATGAGCAATTGTTGAATGGATTATTAATGAATTTCAATATATGACTTTAAATAAAGGAAATTTATTATATACAGAATCTGAAGTTTTATCTACTAGTATTCAAAGACAAAGTCAAAGAAGACATATGTCTAAAGCAAGTTAAATTAGTCATGGTAGTAGTTCTTCTGTAATAAACACTAGTCAATTTTCAGAACCAATAAATTTTATTCCTTTACAATTTGAACATCCAATTAATGAAAAAAGGTATCCAGTACTTCCTAGTAATTTTAATTTAACTAAAACATTAACACCTTTAATATTATTTTATGAGCTTTTTTCAGTTAATTTTTTCAATAAATTTGTTAAATCAACCAATAAATATGCTGTTCAAAATTTAGCAGATGCAGGATGGCCATGGTATTTTCTTAATATTAATGAATTTAAAATATGGCTTGCTATTGTTATATATATAGAAACTCATAAAATTTTATCACATGAGTTTCTTTGAAATAAAGACATTCAACAACTAAAACACTATATTTCAAATATGATATCACAAAAATGATTTGAGCAAATCAAACAATATTTGTATATATCCAATCCTAATAAGTCTCTACAACTATGATATTCTAAAGTAGAACCTCTAGCTTCATCTGATGCATGTAAGAGGCTATATATGCCTAGTTCTAATTTAGTTATAGATGAGATAATTATTCAGTTTTTTGGAAAAAGTAAATATACTATACATATGAAGCTTAAACCAACTCCTGAGAGCTATAAAGTTTTAGCCTTATATGACTTAGGTTATACATGGATATTTTTATTTTCCTCTTGTATTGAGAAGGCACCTATTTACTTAATTTTAAAGAAATTAATGAAATAGGGCATCATGTTTGTTATCTCTCTTTTCAACTTCTATTTACAACATATTCTTTTACAATATATATAGATAATTATTTTACATCAATTCTATTATTTCATTACCTTTGTAGTAAAGGTATTGGTGCATGTAAAACAACTCATACAAATTCTGCTAAATTTCCAAAAGAATTGAAGATACAAAATATAACATCTCTTGAATAGAATACACTCTTAGGTGTAATTGTAAATAATGTGCTTGCTGTTCTTTAGATTGACAATAGACCAGTAACAATGTTAAGCACTGTTCATAAAATTACTGGTAATGAATCTCAAATACATGTTTGTCAGTATCTATGTGAAACAAGCACAAATGCTGTAAAAATTTGTGCAGTTTTTGATAATTCTTCATAAAAACAATTAACAATTCCTAGAATTGTTAATAATTACAATAATCATATGGGAAGTGTTGATATTGCAGATCATATTACCTATCTCAGCTTACTACTCATCAAAACTGGCCTCCTTTATTTTTTTGGTTACTTGATACCTCAATTGTTAATGCCCATTTAATTTATATGAATTTAGGCTCTGCACATCGAAATTTATCACTTAATAGCAAAAATTTTGTAATCACCTTATTTGGAAACTAATATATGAAGCTAAAGATAAGTCAAATTTAAAAAGATTACAACAATTTGATAGTAAACTTCATATTCCAAAAGTACATTTAGTTCATATTACCAAAAATTCTAAACTTCCAATAAGTCATCAAGTTTCTGGAAATCATTTTTTAGAATGGAGAGATAAGTGAGAGGCATATATTTGGTGTTGTTATCTTGAAAAAAAATAAAAGAAATAAAAATCCCTCACAAACAAACTTATAGTGCTGTGAATGCAATGTTCCATTATGTTGTAACAACATAAGACCATATTGCAACCGTGAATTCCATACTCATAATGATAAATAATATATACAATATATTGTAAAGCAAAATATTTATGTACTGCATATTTAATATTTACCGTTGGTCACTGCATACAGTACCCGGGGTCTTATTCAAGAACTTCGTTTTTAAAATTGAATAGTACCCATGGGTATTGTGTGAGGAACCGGGTACTATATCTGGGGGATATATCATATTAATAATAGTAAATCATTATAGTTATACCCCCGGGTCTTATTCAAGAATTAAGTAGGATGGGTGGTGAATAATACCCGGGTCTTAATCATGGGGGGTATTATTTTTGGGGGATACTGTGTGCAGTGGCCAACGGTAATATTACGTTATTTTCATACTATTTAATGTGCAACAATTAAATTATTATTATCTTAACTATTTAATACATAATAATTAATTGTTATTATTTAAGGCATAATAAATAATGCTTTTTTTTAATATATAATATTTTATTTATTATACTTTTAATTTTATATTTTAAGCCACATCGGACTTTATATTTACTGCGGATTAGCCTGACGGTGTAAAGGATAAATATTAAAATATAAACTTGAAAATGAAACTATTTTTAATAATGATTGATCAGTAGTACTATCAATCTCAAATATTGGCTCTCCATATGAGCCTACTGATGTGAAACGTAATTTTAAAGGATCAACGTTAAGATGAATAGCGACTTGATTAACAACCTACGTAAAAGACTCATCAGATAAATTATAATAATTTATAAGGAAATAATGAATTAGATAACATACAGATTTAAATGTTAAATTCCAATTTAAAACTAATGAAAATCCAGGTACTGGATCTTTATACCCGAATTTTGACTTAAAATAAACAACTTTATTCTTTGATAATGATTCGTAAATTTGAGGAATGCTATAGATGCGATTCGCGGAAACATGCTCTTGAATCCTATAAAAATTTTTCTTAAATTTAAACCTTGATTTAAAAAAGAAATATTAAGAATCTAATAACATACTTACTCGTTATTTGTCAATGTCTTTTGGAAGCATAATATATCACCATTTTGTATATTGCATTTTTTAAAAGTAAATTTTGGATTCATCTTTTCGATTATATTTGACTTGGCTTCCTGGTTATTAGTAAAGGAATATATAGAATACCTTTGATTGTAAAATAGACACAATATGAACATATGCAACTGCAACCAACTTTATATATATCAAGATATGTGTTTGATTGTAATTGTTTTCTTTTACAAAGAATAGGAAAAAGATCATCGACTGTATACTCCTTCTGAACATACAACTGACCAAGACATCTATTTATGCGAATAAAATTTGTATTAATTTTTTCATACGTTAACCATAATACATTGCAATCAAATTTACATACTTTAATGATTGTGTATGCGGATTAAAATATTTAAGAAAAATTATAATAGATGATGTTTTTAAGGGTTTTTTCTGTATTACATAGATAATAAAAATTAGATAAAACCATGAGTTATAGATAATAGAAGGTTATTATCACCTTAATATCTATTAGCTTTTTGTACACTTCCATATACAAGATTAAATCATCATAGTGTGTAAGTCTGATTGTACCCATTGCTAGTAATTGAAGTTTACAATTAATATATAGTATATGTGAAAGTAGCTTAGCCTGAAACACTAGTAAGACGTCACAAATAACTCACACGTATCAAGGAGATCATCGGTCATAAAATCTTTCAGCCTAAAATTGGTGTTGTTGATTATCCAGAATCTCATTTGATTAACAGGAATTTTAAACTTTGCAGCAACAGCATTTTTAAAAGCACCAAAAGTGTCTGTTTTTAAAATATCAATTTGAGAAACTTTAGATAATGAAAGTCTTTGGTCATAAGGGCCAATAACGTTAAATCCCTTATTGTTCTTAAACATCTCTTCGGTCACAACCTAAATAATAATATCGATATAACTAAATATTTTAATTTTAACAATTAATCATAAGAAGTTTTTAAGACTACCAATATTCGCAAATAGCCTTTTTCTATCTTTTGTTCGTTTGCAAAATTTCTTTCATCTATAAAGTGTATAACCATTTTAAAACCGCAAATAAACTAAATAGATTCTAAATAATATATTACATTGTACATTTACGCAAATGGTTCGGTAGGTGTTTAGGAAGCAGCGGTTCCAACAATTCATCGATATCAGATTCACGATAATATATCAACATGTATGCATTGTTATATAAGAAATTTTCATCATCATTGTTATTAAGCATCTCTTTAATCGATATATACGTAGTTTGGGAATCACAAAACTTAACCCTGTGTGTGTTTTTTTTTTTTTTATTAACTTATTTACATAATTAAATGCTATGTGGATAAAAGTGAGAAAATAATTTTAACGTTTGCCATTCTTTTCTGGTTTAAGCAGCGCAAAATACTGATCCCAACCATTGTCATTAACGTGAATAAGTATACTATTGTAATCAAATAAAATTTAGCTTTTAGTTTGGGTAAACGTTATAATATATTGTAATATGAAAAATTAATCTTTAATACAAACCCATGCAATATATATTTATGTGGCCTTGACTTATCTGCATCTGGTGATAAATATTTTTGCAAATCAATTTCCATAGGAAATTCGTAACGATAGTTTGACTATAACAATACTGCAATGTTAACAAAAAGAATATAAACTTTATAGATTGGTTCTAAATATACATGCATTAACAAGGTTACCCTGCGCATCGTATTCAGGCCGATCTAAATGTATGTGCAATATAGGTGGGAAGCTTTCAAAGACAACACTTTTTTTGGCAACCTACAAACAATATCAGATATAACATACACAGTAGGCGTAATTTACGTACTTTATAAATATTTATTATCTAGCAATGAGTATAGACAAATTAAGAAAACACGTTACTTGTGGGCCATAACATTCCGCATTATATTTATTGTCTCCCTCTAAAGTTTCTTGCACATATTGAGTAAAAGAATCATCTAGAGTCCTGCACTTTTTAACATTAAATTGAATATCTATTGAAAATAAATTGATATTAAAGAACTATAAAAAATAAAATCATTAGTTAATATGATATTTTGCTTCTAACCATAATAATGCACGACGTAAAGACTCATAATCTACATTAACACATTTAATATGAGTTTTCATCGTGCCAACAAAAAGTTTAGAAATTGTACCATCCGCTTTTGTATTCTGTATTTAATATATAGTCATGTAAAGTAAATTTTAGCCTAAATAACAACAGTTATGCATTATAATATATAAACATCACCTTCATTTTTTCTTCAAGATCGTATTGTAATACTCGAATAAACTTTCGAACATCACTAATGGACAATGTCTTCCATCCAAAAAATTTTATTAATTCTGCCGCTTCAACTGAGGATGATGAAACATTCAATTGATAAAAATCCCTTTGTAAAGCTAATGCAATGCTTCTTGCTGTTTTATTAGAGATCATATATACGGCCTATAATCGAAAGTTAATATGATTATATTTTTAATTTTTTTTTTAAATTAATAAATAGACAAACCCTACGAAAGTATTTTATGTAATACAATGATAGTATCACTGAGTTAAAATTCTTTGGCTGTTTAAGCCTATGTACCCGGTAGAATATCAGACCATAGTGTACCAGTTGGATCATCCAGAACACGAACGATAGCTGTGATATTGCAGGAATCATTTTCAATTAGTG